TACCGTGTACGCAGGTCTGTACGGGAAGCCGTCACACATACCGTGTATGCAGGTCTGTACGGGAAGCCGTCACACATACCGTGTACGCAGGTCTGTACGGGAAGCCGTCACACATACCGTGTATGCAGGTCTGTACGGGAAGCCGTCACGCCTACCGTGTATGCAGGCCTGTACGGGAAGCCGTCACACATACCGTGTACGCAGGTCTGTACGGGAAGCCGTCACGCCTACGGTGTACGCATGTCTGTACGGGAATCCGTCATACATACCGTGTATGCAGGCCTGTACGGGAAGCCGTCATACATACTGTGTACGCATGTCTGTACGGGAAGCCGTCCCGCCTGCCGTATACATAGACCTGTATGGGAAACCATTACAGAGGGAGTGCCAGAGGCTGAATTTGAACCCTTAACCTTGGAAGCATGAGGCTGCAGGGCTATGCCATGATCCACCTGCTGCCCTCTGCATTGACCCTGTGTTTTGTATACTTACCTGTATTCACGTCTGTCATTTAATGTAACGTTACTCCATCTGCAACTGCTCACTAAGGTAAAACATATATGCATGCATTAGTGCTGTCCCAAACGATTATTCTGTAAACGATTAATCTAGCGATTGTTTCGATTTTTCGACTAATCTAACAACAAATTTTTCGATTGATCTGATAAATTTATTGATAAGCAATTATTTTAGTCCTTTAGTGCAATTCACCCCCTCCCCCCCACACACAAATCTGAAATTCTCATTAACATTTCAATTTATTTAAACATTTCTTAAACATTACAGCATTATGGAAAGGGCAAATCTTAAGAGATTCAATAGGATTTCTATTTTAGACTGAAGTTAATAATCACTGCAATAGTTTTTACTTAATTATTTCAGTACACAAATTTGTCATTAATGTTGAAATAGATGCTAAGACATGGAATGATTTCATAACTAGAGAAACATGTTTTAAATTAAGAAACATTAGCAAAGGTAGCTTATAGCCTAGTTAAGCTTACTTCAGTGAACAAGGAACGATTTAGGCTATAGTGTGTAAGAGTAGTCGTAAACGATAATTTGTCTCACTATTACATGACAGAATAAGTAAACAGAAAATATAAAACGGCTGAAACAGCGTCATTAACGTCAGCTACAGTAGAGATGCAGAAAAGGTGTCATGACTGAAGTATTACCAAACTTTAGAAGACCGCGTGCGAGCCTTTCTTGCTACGTGTTTCTCCAGAGGCTCCGGAGCTCTGCTGGTAGATGCAGCCACGTTGCCTCGTGCGCGGGGGCGGGGCGGACGGCAAATTTCCTTTTTGCAGGGTGGTAGGTGATGTCTCATTAATATTTATGAGAGAAGTGCTACATGATTGGCCAGTGCATGCCTTACAAAATAGCGCGGCACTGCCGGCACCGGCGATATTAGACAAAACTATATCGGAATTCAGTCTATAATTGATATAGTTTTAATGGTGCCAGCAGTGAAACAACTAGCCAGCTTTTTAACGGAATAACTTTGTATTGTAAATGAAAACCATGCTGCAGGTCCAATAAATAAAATATTGTAGCTCTCGAGTAAAGATCATCAGGTGGACAGTAAAGTTCAGTTATTAGCAGACTGTTGCGCGATTCTTAAAAGGACAGTGTTAACGTGCGCCCTTACAATATGTTTAGCTTATGAATTAGTGCATTGCAGTTACAAAACATTTACGTAGTTTTACACAACGCGTCGACACTGAAATTCCACTTTGACGCATTTTTATAATCGACATGTTGATTACGTCGAATAATCGTCCCAGCCCTAGCATACATATGTATGTCCACTCATAAATACTCAGTAATCATCTGGATATGAAAAAATATCTTAAGACCGTTCAGTTTAAGTATCAGTTTTCAGAAGCGGCGTGAGCGTGGTGGATGAAGAGAGAGAAGACCGACGTCCCAGAAGGGGAATAGGAAATTAGAGGCAAGGTAGACACAGACTCCAAATGATTGGAGTATGGGGGGGGGGGTATTAATGGGGGAGGAAGCAATGAGGTAATAAGACAAGGTTCACACACAAGGGTCACTAAAGCTGATCAAGGCTGAGGGGAGTCAAGAACAGAATGACAGCGATAAGCCTTCGAAGGGGGTGGGGAGTTTAGCCATGAACGCGTTCAGCTTAATGGGATTCCTGAAAGATCAGAGTGCTAGTGCCCCCCCGCAGGCCCACTACATGGCACGCCTCGGGCACTTGCACTGTACTCGAACCTCGACAGCGCCGTGCATGTGTCCGCCTCACCCCGTGCCCTCGGCCCACCGTACGATTATAGCCCTGGGTAGGCATTGCAGGTAGAAGCGTCCCATGCGAGAGTAAGCCAGTAGCTCTCAGGACCAGAAACCTCTCTGCTCTTCCTTATCGCCACTGCTGATCTGAAGGGAGCCTTACTGCTTGCACTATGGCTGGACTCTCGGGCGTCCCTCCCCACCCACGCATAGCTGCTTGGGCTGGCTTTGCAGTACCAGCTTGGTCCCCAAGTGTCCTGCGCCTTATGGGGACTACGGGACGCCCTTACAGCCCCCCTGTGCTCCTCCCTTCCTTCTCTCATCTCCTCCATCTCCCATTATCATCAAGGTAGCTTTTCTCAAGCCTCACCCAAATCAGTACCAGTGGTCGCATAGCGATTATAAACGGCCAGTGTGTTTTCCTGCAGTGAAGCTCAGTGTCGATCTTTTTTGTATTCCCCTAGTGCTCTCGGTAACCCCCACGCCTGAATCTGTTCAAGGCAGTCTCCTCTCCTGGAGTTCAAAGCCCAGCTTTCACCGTGAAAATAACCAGTTCTCTGGAGCAGAGGCTGTATCAGCTAGTTAGCTGATGTATAGTAATTACTGCCAGTTCATGCATGCAGTACCACTGGATTCAAGTGTTGAAAACACTTCCTCAAAAGTGAAAGACTAACTATTACTATTATGAACTCAGTACACTGATCCTAATGGTAATTAGTGGATGTGAGCAGATTCTGAATCACGCTGTGTTATGCTGCCCTTGCAGTGAGGTTGAACTCTCGGAGATACAGTGCAGCCAGCCTTGAAAAGATTAATCCATGTGAGAGGATTAAAGTTGAGAGCCAGCTATGGTGATCTCTTGTTATTGTTGTTGTTGGTTCTTCTCCGTATTTTCGTCCTTTGTCTGGTATCCCCGCTTGCTGCTGCCCTCGCTGCCGTTCACTTCTGTCGCAATCCTGCTCAGTATTTGAAGCCCTGCTGGTCTGTCGTGAGATCAGGTCAGTGACGGGAGCCGTGAGCATCCCACTTTGCGGCTGGTGTCAGGGTTTCTCCTCTGTCTATTTGCACAAACATGGGTGGGGGGGGGGGGGGGGGGGGGGTCAGATGCATTTAAAGAGACTACAGCCCTCCCCCTAAGGTTAATCCATTGATTACTTCAGCTCCATCACCCTTGCCAGTCTGGTGGTATATGGACAGTAATGTATATCAAGCAGGGACAATGTGCACTTTGATGCCGCAGATATCCAAGGTACTGCAGTCAAACTCCAGATTAGCCACCATCTCCCTTTAAGTTCAGGTCAGATAAGCGTGGCTTAGGCTTTCATCGTAGTTTTCTAAGTACCTGGGTGTGTTTGTGCAGAGAGGAACAGCCCAGGTTCCTGGATCGTCTTTAGGTTGCCTGGTGCTTGCAGCTATGCAGCTCTATTATATCCTCCAAGTCTTGAAGCTGTTTTTCCTTAACAGTCCTTTATGAAGTCTGTGGGCTTATTGTGGCATCAGAACAAGACACACAGAAGAGGACGTCTTGGAGGTTGGCTACTCTGAGAATGTGTGAAGAGGAGGAAGAGGGGGGGCCAGAGAGAGGTGGGGAGGTAAAGCAGCGGCGCCTCCTCTCACTCGCAGGCTGTTAGCGTGACAGGCCATTAGCGAGGTGCGCTAAAGCGGGCTCACGGCGCACGCCATCTCGCCCCAGCTCCCATCATCCCCACCTCATAGCAGATGAATGTTTCACAGACAGCCTCTCCGATGGGTCGAGTGAAACAAAACCGAACGGCAGAATGCTTTTGTTTCTCGTGTCTGAAGAGTGAGCTGCGCACATTGGGAATAAAGGAAAATGATCTGAGTGAAGGAGACCAAATGGGGAGAGGCGGCTTGGCCGAAAGGCCGCCATTTTATAGGTATGACAGCAGCTCTGTGCTGGAGCTGCAGTCACATCCAACCTTTGCATCCTGGATTAGCAGAGAATGCAAATGCATTTCCTTTTGGAATGAAACACAAAGCTGCGAGGCTGTTAGTGCTGTGTGGGTTAACCCTGTCTATTGGTGTGTTAGCCCTTACTGTTGATGGGGTAGCCCTGACTATTGGTGGGGTAGCCCTTACTGTTGATGGGTTAGCCCTGACTATTGGTGGGGTAGCCCTTACTGTTGATGGGGTAGCCCTGTCTGTTGATGGGTTAGCCCTGTCTGTTGGTGGTTTAGCCCTTACTGTTGATGGGGTAGCCCTTACTGTTGATGGGGTAGCCCTTACTGTTGATGGGGTAGCCCTTACTGTTGGTGGGTTGATATTGAGTTATCCCTTATGTGTGTGTGTGTGTGTGTGTGTGCGCGCTTGCACATGTGTACACACGTGTGTTGGTGTTGTTGCTTTTTATTGAGACATTTTATCCACATGTTTCTGCAGGCTGAAGCTGAGGGCTTCTCTCACTTTCACCTCTATGTCTGCGCTGCCTTTCTGATTGAATGGAGGAAGGAGATCTTGTCCATGGTGGACTTCCAGGTACACACAGCCAGTCGCATGTACATATGTATGTATGTATGTATGTACATATGTATGTATGTATGTATGTACATATGTATGTATGTATGTACATATGTATGTATGCATGTATGTACATATGTATGTATGCATGTATGTATGTACGTACAGTGTTTCACAAAAGTGAGTACACCCCTCACGTCCTTGTAAATATTTTATATCTTTTCATGAGACAATACTGAAGATATGACACTTTGATACAATGTAAAGTAGCCAGTGAACAGCTTGTATATCAGTGTAAATTTGCTGTCCCCTCAAAATACAGTAAAATCCAGTTATAACGGACTTCAAGGGACCTGGCAAATCAGTCCGTTATATCCAAGGTCCGTTATATCCAGAGTTGCTATATGCCCAGAACACAACTACAGGACGCCATTTACTCATGCCACACCTCAGCAGACACACTTGTGGTATAGATTATTATATTGTACGTGTAGTAATCCAACTTTATCTGACCAGATGCGTGACTATTAATAATCCCGACTACGTATCTGTGCTGGATGTCACCGGCACGCCACACGCCTTGCAGGGTGAGGGCTGTACTCACTTTTGTGAGATACTGTATATATTCATGTATGTACGTATGTATGTATGTATATATACATGCCTGCCTGCCTGTCTGTCTGTCGAAAATGAAACCTTTTGACCCACCATGGCTGGTCAAACACTTCATTGCAGTTGAAATAATTGGCCTCCCAGTTTAACAGGCATCTCACAAACATATTTCACACCCTAATGGTTTTCATAGCTCAGTGGTCACCAAATGAGAAATGAAAAATTCAGTTATTATTTTCCGGAACTTTCTCTTTCACCTTTGATGGTTCTGGTGATTTCTTCCCCCATCACTCATGCTTGGCCATTAGAAGCGTAACCCCCCCCTGACCTTGCTGTGCTGCTTGACCACATCCACTAAATCTATAAATTCTATGGTGTTTTGAGAGCACAGATCTCTGTACTGTTCCCACAGAGTTTTAACTTCACTAAGACTGGAATCTTTTCGGGTCTTTTCCAGAGCTTGCTCATGCTGCTCCAGAACCTACCCACAATTCACTGGGGCAACGAAGAAGTGGGACTGCTGCTCGCTGAAGCCTACAGGCTGAAGTACATGTTCGCAGATGCGCCCAACCACTACCGAAGATAATTCCATCCACGGATGGAGTGTGTATACCTCCATAGTGATACGGATGTGCTTTGGAACGTGCTGGATGAGGAATTCAAGTCCTCCTGCTTTGACATAAGACATTTACAGACATAGACCCAATTTCTATCATACATGCACAGAAAATGCACATGTAGCCCCATGGCTGAAGGAGCAGGGTGCCAATCCCTTGATTGCCCCTTATTTGGGCATTTCCTCCCCAGTCTCTGATGGGCCTGGTAAAATTTCCTTTGGACCCAGCATTCAGTTTTCAAAACCATGGGTTAGAACTGTCTACCTACTTGTCTGTTACAGATTCTGATAAAGCACTCAAAGAGCGGCTGGACATTCCCAGGCTGTCAGCAGACTCACTTCCAGGAAGCACTGGAGGACCGAGCACTCTGATTGCCAGGGACTGGGGGAAAAAAAAAGAAAACGCTTCCGATATAATTCATCAGGCCTCTCTCTTCCTTTATGATACCTGCCTAGGGGCGTAAAGCATAAAACTCTGTGGTGTTGTCCCTCAAGGGTACGGAAACAGAGAGATGTACTCTGGTTCTGTCATTTTGAAGCTGCTCGTCCAGAACTTAGTGCAGCTTCTGCTTGGTCCGGTACCCCCCATCTCTCCTGCATCTCCACAGCAGACGTGACTCTGCTCCCGGCACCGTTCGCTTCCCCTGACCTCCAATCTGCATTATTTGCGTCTGTTACAGTTTAGCGTTTGCATGGACTGCAGCTCTTGCAGTCTGTCTGCACAGTGCGCCTGGTCAGCGTTGCAGAGCTGTACTGGGATTGATGCACGCAGCGCAGGACCTGAGGTGCTGCCAGGCTGTGGGGCGCATCTGCGCAGCCGTCCTAGAGCCCTGCTGTATGGAACAGGAGGCCGTGCACAGCTGTAAGGCTGTGCAGCTGCTGCACAGTGGGTGGGCAATCATGTGTGAGCTTTGCCCTCAGTCTCCTCCACTGTATTCAGCCTGTGAACACGAGGACCAGCCACACTCGCTGCAAAATTGGTGGCATTGTGTAACCAGTGCAAACAGATCAGTGCAAAGGATCACTGCGGGTGTGCTTGGTTCTCACTCTGGGATCTTTTTGTTATTATTTTAGTCTGTATTGGATAACCTAACAAAATATAGAGGTACTGTAAATACTTATAGATAATCTTATTCTATTTGAATCAGCTACAGAAGTCAGTCACTGGAGAGGAAATATTCTATGGAAATGGGGGAAAAATAGAGAAAAGTTTAACTGTGCATTAGCTGCCATTCAATGGGAGTGATTTTTAAAACTGTGGGCATGGTGTTAGTGTATTAAATTTAGAGTTATGGCTTTTCCAGACATGCAGCTATCAGTGAAACAGCACATTAGGCCCCCGACTTGCCGCTTCTGTCCGGCTCAGTGCAGGTGTAACAGGCAGCTGCTGCCTGGCTTGGCGGCTGCTGCACTCAGCTGAGGCCAGGCCTTGTGGGGCAGTTTGGCCAGCCTGGGCCTCGGCCCCTGTGGTGAGAGCCGACGGCCAGACCCCAGCCCAAGCCTGCCTTCTGTCATGCAGAGTCTTCACTCTTTGTTTGCCTTAACCCCCCACCCCAGCAGTGCTGCTCCCACAGTCTCCTTATAGACAGAGATGGCCATAGAGATTTCTTGGGAGAGTGTAGCAAAGGCTGAATTTTATTTTATTTTTTTTTAACCTTGTGTATTATTTTGACAATCTGAAAGTCCCTGATCGTGTGGAAAGCCTTGGATAGAAAGTGTCTAAGAATTCATCTTCCTGCAGAAAATCAGTAGACTTTTCCTGTTGTGCTTTTATCAAAGTTTTAAAGTTTAATTGTTACATACACAGTGCACTGTGCAGTGCGATGCACAGGTGCCTGGCCCTGGACTGTGAAATAGGACATATAAAAGACATATATCAACAAACATTAATCATTTATGCTGTGCTACAAAAGATGTACTGTGTTCCGCTAGACCAGGGTTATTCAACTCACGGTCCTCGAGGTCTGAGCACTGCTGGTTTTCCAGCC